TGTGAGACCTGGAAATATTAAGAAATCTTGAAATTGATTGACATACTTTTCATTGTGATTTAAGTATGACACAAGATTCAATTCAAACTGATTGGTCAAAACCTGCAGTGCATGCGCCCTGTTGTTTTTTGATCAATYGCCCATTTCAATGAAATTGTAAACTTGCTAAGAACAGTTTAGATCATTTTGCAATTGCACTGCATTTTGAGGTCATAGTTCATGTATATCTACTAATAAAAATTATATAGACACATACTAGGAAAATTGACTAATTGAAATATCATATACAACCAACCAGTCTCCTTCGAAGCCTAACCTTTTGCCAGAAGGGACAGGATGCCTGACAAAAGTCTAGGCTGCGAAGTAAACTAACAACCTATAATAAGTTATAAAATAAAGAACCCAAAAATGCAAAAAATTGTACTCTATATTCATTTTCTAAGTTTGGATATAATACAAAGTCATATACTTTTATAAAGCTATAGTCTCAACTAAGATATTGACCTTTTCAAACTAATTTCTTACTAATAGTACATTTGTTCTATTCCTATAAATTTCAGTGAAGTGTGATTCCTGTGAGTCTTTATCAGTAAGTGATGACAGTTTTCTTGGTGTAAGCTTGGCAATCACTCCAAAGGTAATGCTTTAAATTAATGCTTATGATATGCCATTTTACTTCTGGAAATGAATCCAACCACGCAAGTTTTAGTATAGACTATATATGCCAGTTACCTAGCAACAATCATCTTTTGTAGCTAAATTCATTGTCTGCAGCGATTAATATTTCCTGAAAAAAAGGAGATTTATTACATTAAAATCAAGTTCAATTCTTAGTCACTGACAATTAAGCAAGTTTTTGCACCTGCTTTGGATAAAAACATACAGCCGAGCAAATTAGCTACACACATGATGTCATTTTTCATGAGTTACAAAACACTTCTGCTCGTTTACTATTAAAAAGCACTAAATCTATTACTATATACACATCATTCATCCTTTGAGGACTCCCTCGATAGCTTTTTTCTTGAAGAAGATTTGCCATCTTATCGCTGTGAAAGGTCTGTGTCTAGTCTTAAGCATAAACTACTTAACTATGTTTAAAGGAACATTTTTGCATGATTTGTTTTGCTGATTGATGACCCTGCTTTAATGGTACCATTAGGTAACACCCTAAGCATGTGTATATTTTCTTTCCCTTTTTCGCATGTTTGTACTTACTTGTCTAGTTTAAATTCACATGACAAATACTCCATTTTATAGTTCCTTGCGCACCATCAAAAAGTTAGACAGTGGTTGAGTTGGTACACAATGATAGATAGCTATGTAAGCAATAAAGGTATCCCACTACAGGTTCAACTCCTTTCTCACTTTGATACAAAACCATGTCTCCCTTTCAAGATGCAATTGAGAACTGTCAAATGGAGTATTAAATAACACATGTATAATATAAATTAATAATATCTTAATTTGGCCATATCTGTTCAGCCTCACGGTACACAAACTATAATCATTATAATTTAACCTACCATTATATCTTCTAGGACACATGTGCTGGAATTCAAAATGAACCACAGGGTACCTGGATATGCGAGGAGTGCCTATCTGCATCAAAAAAAAGGAAAAAAATTTCATCTTCAAATTTGTAACCTTTCATGTTAATTACCTGTATGTTAATA